CCCCCCCCCCCCCCCCCCCCCCCCCCCCCAAACAGCCACATCCACTGCTTACCCTTTTTATTTGTAAAGAGGGAGAGTGCCCAATTTCCACGTGTAATTTAGGCACATTGGCCTTTGTGTGGGCGGATTTACTCCATTCTTGCTGTGATCCTCAGGAGCTGGAGGGGGATGTTCCTGGAGGGGGATGCCATCAGCTGGATCAGCAGCCTGTGACCTCATAGGCAGATGTCGTTCCAGTTAGAAAGATCACCGATCAAGTTAAAATTAGGTTCAGTACTCTTGAGAGGTAGCGTTCATAAATTCCCTACATCAGAGGGATGTACAGTTAAATAGCGATAAACTCTGAACAATCATTGATCATTCCCTTGGAGGCTGTTACTGCCTATGATTCATTGTAGTCTATTGGTAAGCATTCTGTTTTTGTTGTTGTTTTTTTCCCATCCCCCTAAGGAATGCAGGCTATTAATTAGAGTAACCGTAGGGGATACGTCTTTCTGCGTTCCGTTGTGTGTCCTCTTAGAAAAGGAGGGGCCGTGTTTAATGTTAAAGAGAAGAGCCGTGTTGGGAAGCAAAGATTTCTTCCTGGTAAAGTTCATGCCGAGCTAGGGAAGGCTTATTTTCAGGAAGGTGGCATGTTTTACCCAGCATTCGAAGTAATTACACAGTGGGGAAGACTTTAACTGGAAATTCTCATTTTATTAATGATCTTGAGAATTTTTTTTGGTAAACTAAAGCATAGCAACCTAACAAACAGACATCAAAAATGATTGAACAGTCTTGGTAAGCAGGTGTCAAAATTAATTGGCTGATTCCATGGTAACTTAGCTCTCCCCCCTCCACCACCACCCCCTCCCACCACCAGAGGGATTTCACTAGGGAATGAGTATTCTTCAAATGCTTCTCTAGAGTGGAAGATTGATGGATGGAGGTGGGGGTGAGGGAAATAGCACAAGCAAATATGGTATGGTTTCAAAAGTGGTACTTGAGTTCTCTTAGCATTGATTGCAGCCTTCTGTTTGAAAAGAATATAACATTCAGACTTAGAAGCCATTCCTCACATAGGAAAAACAAAATCAACACTGATCTCAAGCTTAAGCGTCTGCCTACGGACCTGGGACTAAAAATCAGAGAGGACAAAGCCAGTGTAATGATACGAATTGTATAATGTATCCTAATCAGATTTGAGGAGCTTAGTGTAATATTAGGTTAGAAAACATTTTACTAATAAACTCGGAATGCGTGATGTTGTTGTTTTTGCACAGTAGTTGACATTTATACTTTCCTTATGCATGTATATATATATATATACATATATATGTAATTTTTCAATGGAACCCTGGTGGTGTAGTGGGTAGGAGTTGGGCTAAGATCCTCATGGTCAGCAGTTCAAAACCAGCAGCAGCTCTGCAAGAGACAGTCTGGGCTTTCTACTCGTGTGAACAGTTACAGTCTCAGAAACCCACATGGGGGTCGCTATGAGTCACATTGTTTTGATGGCAGTGAGTTAAAACAAAAATTATTTTTAAAGTTGTTAGGTTAGTCAAACATGAATACTGAATTTCATACAGACTTGTAATTGCAGTATTCAAATTCTAGTGACAACACAATAAAGATATGTCAGAAATGACGTTCCGATTGTGAACCAAGAATGTCAAGGATAAAGATGTAAACATTTTTCATGAGTCTTAAAGTTACATATGCACATAGAAACATATATTTGGGATCTTTTTATTCATAGAGGAGAAGCTATTAATAACGCTTAAGTCATGTTTCCTGCCCCAGGCCTTTATTATTTCAAAGTGAACATGTAAAACGTAATTTATATCCCGGGGTTTCATTTCCATCATTAGAACAATCACGCAGTAGCAATTCAAAATTATTTAAATGGAGTATTTCTTTGATCCAAATTGGTAACATAGAGGCAGGGTTCCCAAAGTCACAGGTCCGCTGGATTTGGCTCCTGCCCACTTCAGGTGTGATTCCTCCCTTGGGCCCACAAGCCCCGTCTTTTAATTCCCGGCGCTGGTCTTTTAAAAATTTTTGAATGTGCCAATTCCTTTGAGCATCTTGGCCTTTCAAGCACACTGCTAGTCCCGCCTGGACCCTCTTTCCTATGAAATCTGTTTGTTTGCTTCCTTCTGTTGTTGCTAGGTGCGATGGTGTCCGGTCTACTCCTTCTGACCCTGTGGACAGCAGAAGGAAGCTCTGCCGGGCCTGCGCCGTCCCCCACTCTCTGTTAGGTTTGCAGCCCTTTGTTGCAGCCACTGCGTCGAACATTTCTTTGAGGGTCTTCCTCTTGCTGCTGAGCCCCTGCCCAGCCCGATGTCCTTTTCCAGGGACTGATCTCTCCTGGAACTTGTCCCCAAAGTGTGTGAGATGAGGTTTCACCACCCTCGCTTCTAAGGAGCTGAGTTAGTTAATTGTGCCAACCTGGCCGATAATCACATGTGGGGCTAATTGAAAGGCGGAGGGATAAAT